GGGAAATGGATCCCCCTATATTACCCTAAACCCTGAACCTTTGAAGGGATTATGTAGAACACACCTCTAAGTCTCTCATTCCCTACTAAGTAGGTTGAGGTTTGGGGCTTAGGGTTTCGGACTCCGGGCATACAGAGCACGTAGGGGCTCAGGGTTTAAGGTTCGCTAGGGTTTAGGGTTTAGGGTTTAGGGTTTAGGGTTTAGGGTTTAGGGTTTAGGGTTTAGGGTTTAGGGTTTAGGGTTTAGGGTTTAGGGTTTAGGGTTTAGGGTCTAGGGTTTAGGGTTTAGGGTTTAGGGTTTAGGACACGTCGGGTTTCTTAGGAGCAGGATCTGGGCTATCCCTGGTGCATCCCCGGACTTGATAGGGCGTCCCCAAGCATCAATCCCACGGGGCAAGATTCCCCTTGAACCCTAAACCCTAAACCCTAAACCCTAAACCCTAAACCCTAAACCCTAAACCCTAAACCCTAAACCCTAAACCTCCCTCTTCCTGAAGGTCCTAGGTTGTTTGGGTGAGCCTTTGACGAAAGTGCTGAAATTCTCATCCTCGGCTCTTATACTTAAGCTTGCGTGGCACTCACCACACGGGAAGCCTACATTCTGAACCCTAAACCCCAAACCCCAAACCCTAAACCCTAAACCCTAAACCCTCGGTGGCTCTCGGAATTCACGGAGCCGCAGAAGGGCAGAGCTCGCGCCAGGGAGGAAGCTTAGGGCGCGGGACTGAGGGCTTTCTCTGTAGGTTTAGGGTTTAGGGTTTAGGGTTTAGGGTTTAGGGTTTAGGGTTTAGGGTTTAGGGTTTAGGGTGTACATGTTCACAGCTCCGAGCCTACTAGCGCTTGTGATGCTCATTGCAAGGCCTACTCATAGCCTCTAAACCCTAAACCCTAAACCCTAAACCTTTAACCTAAACCCTCAACCCTAAACCCTAAACCCTAAAGTGAAGGTTCTACTGCTACGAGAACCCCAAGGCCAAGACCTAAGGACCCTGGAGCATCTTCGTCAAGAGGTACTGTGCCCAGAACTTCATCACATCACACCTTTTGCAGGAGTACTCCCTAAACCCTAAACCCTAAACCCTAAACCTTAAACCCTAAACCCTAAACCCTGAACCCTAAACCCTAAACCTACAGGTTGCGCACTCAGGCTTAATGCCCTTAAACCCTAAACCCTCAACCCTCAAGCCCTGAAACCCCAAAGCTCCAAACCCGGAGCATGCCCTCTCATTCATCCAGACTTTGCTTTGAAACTGCAAACCTTATCGACGATTTGCGAAAGAATCCCCCCCCTCAACAAAGTAATAATAATAACTATGATAAGGGTGCCCCTTTTGTGGTTGTTTCACTACGTATTGCTTAAGATCCCCCCAACAAAAAAATCCCTCTGTTGCGCTTAGAAGGAGGAATATTTATGAGGGGGGTTCTTAAGGAATTGGTAGTTTTTATCCGATTCCAGGATGAAGTTGATTTGTGGGTTTAGGGTTTAGGGTTTAGGGTTTAGGGTTTAGGGTAAAGGGTTTAGGGTTTAGGGTTAGGGGTCTTGCAATTTCGGGTGCATATAGGGTTTAGGGGGATTTCGGGCTTAGGGTTCTCTCTAAACTCTCCGGGGTCCTTGGCGATTTCATGCGAGAGCCCCCCCCAAACCCTCGACCCTACACCCTAAACCCCAAACCCTAAACCGTAACCCTAAACCCCAAACCCCAAACCCCAAAAACCCCTAAACTTAGGGTTTTTTCAGGCTTGTTGGCTGCTTCTCTGCCGACTTGCAGAGAGTTGTTCTGCGGCTCGCTCGTAGCCTTGGAACCGGGGAGCCCCAGCATTCCTTGATTTTGCGGCGGGTTCAGGGTTTAGGGTTTAGGGTTTAGGGTTTAGGGTTTAGGGTTTAGGGTTTATAAGGGGTTAGGGTTTAGGGTTTGCTAAGTAGGGTTGCAACATGGTCTTAAGCAGCTTTCTCTCACTAAGGGGTGGCTGGAGTCTCTGGCAAGCCCTACCGACTTCCCAAGGAAGCGTGGGAGGACGTTTAACACAGTAGTTGTCAAAATAAGGGTCCCTGTTTGGGGTCCTATATGTAGTACGGCACACCCTAAACCCCAAACCCTAAACCCCAAACCCTAAATCCTTCAAAAGAAGGACCCCAAAAGGGGACCCTATTTTAGACAACTACCCACATGGGCCGAAGCAGCAGCAAGCTTGTGACTGCCTCAGCTGGAGAGATTCAACCTTAGGGTTCGGGGTTTAGGGTTGAGGGTTTAGGGTTTAGGGTTCAGGGTTCAGGGTTTAGGCTCAACCGTAAAGTGAACACCCAAATGAAGCTCTACAGGCTCTAAGCCTAAACCCTAAACCCGAAGCCCTCAACATTTTATCCGAGGGAGGCTTTGGTGTTGCCGAGGGCGCTTTGGTGCTTGATATCGAACATCAAACGGTCTAAGCTGACCTCCATGGTAACTTGGTGTTGCAGTACCCGTAAAATCAGTACCTGAAGCCTAAACCCACCGAAAGGGTGATAGGTCAGTTGCCCTTGCAGCTGCGACGGCACCGAATTTAGTCGACATGTGAAGCTTCCGACCCTTTCTTTTGCAGACAAGAAAAAAAGCGCTAAACCCCAAACCCCAAACCCCAAACCCTAAACCCTAAACCCTACACCCCCAAAGCCACCTGACAGTTTCAGGGCTTTGCCGCCTCCAGCGTTCGGCGAAGGGAATAGGTTGTGTTTTGGCTTAGGGTGAGGAAGTTTAGGAAGTTTTGGGTCTGAGGGTTTAGGGTTTAGGGTTTAGGGTTTAGGGTTTAGGGTTTGGGGTTTAGGTGCTTCATCCCAGGCCGGTCATTGAATCTTCAGCACGGGGTACATTCGATCACATTGGATGGAGCGTGGGCGGATCAAATAGGCACCCGGAGAATGCTGAATATACTACTGTTGCGTTTAGGGTTTAGGGGTTTAGGGGTTTAGGGGTTTAGGGTTTGGGGTTTAGGGTTTAGGGTCATTTTTAGGAACCCTCGGGCTACTTTTTGGATCCTCCAGGGGTCTGGGCAAGTGGGTGAGGTTCGAGCGCAACGCGATCCCGGGCTTTGAGCTTGAAGCTGCGGTTTAGGGTTTAGGGTTTAGGGTTTAGGGTTTAGGGTTTAGGGTTTAGGGTTTAGGGTTTAGGGTTAAAGCATTCCACCCTCGCAGCCGCCATGGCCTGCCATGTCCACAAGCCCCACATCCGTAGAACGTAGATCCCGCAAAAGATGCCCTCGATCCCCCTTAGGGTTTAGGGTTTAGGTTTAGGGTTTAGGGTTTAGGGTTTATTGTTTAGCGGATCTGAAGCCCCTAAAGCCCTCAATGTCTGAGCCTCTAAACCCCTAAGCCCCAAAGTCTTATCCTCAAAGTTGCCTGAAGTCTCTAAATCCCAAATTCTTTTCCCTAACCTGAAACCCCTAAACACCAATTAATTAAACCCTAAACCCCAAATCTCAAAGTCAAGGCCCCTTTGCAAGTTAGCAGATCTCGATCTCTCTCTCTCTCTCTCTCTCTCTGTCTCTTTCTCCCTCTCTCTGACCATGCCGCGCCGACCCGGTAGCAATCACGGAGGCTGCGTCCTGCCTAATTCTGCTGCGATTTCCCCCAAAGAGTTTCAGGGTTTTAGGGTTGAGGGTTCAGGAACAGGGGTATTGAAGGTTTAGGGTCTTTAAACGTGAACATTACTTGGTCACGCACTAGGGCTGTTAATCCGCAACGAATCCTAATCTTAGACCCATGAACCCTCAACCCAGCACCTATACCCCGAAGCCCTAAACTCTTGAACCTAGCACCTCCAATGGTATAATTTTTGGGGTTCCGCAGGTTAAGGGCCCATAATATGGGACGATGTGACTATCCTCTAAGACCCAGAGTAGGCCCTCATTCCCTTTTTTTTTTTTTTTTGGGGGGGGGGGGGGTTCCGGTTCCCTTATAAACCCCTTTAGAGCAAGAAGGGCGCCACACTCCTGGGTCTAGTCCTGCAGGCCCCCATTACAATCACTACCCGTAGGAAGCGGGGTACTCGCTGCTGCGTCTCCGGGGACCAGGGGCCTCCAGCCAGCTCTGCGTGGGCTTCGGGTTTGGGGTTTAGGGTTTAGGGTGTAGGGTTTAGGGTTTAGGGTGTAGGGTTTAGGGTTTAGGGCTTAGGGTTTAGGGTTTAGAGTTCAAGTGCTCAAAAAACTCTTCTTTCTTGATGCGCCCCGCAGGGGCCCACCCTTCGAAGAACACCCCTGCTAAACCTCCCTGGGATCCGCGAAATCAGGGGGGCCATTTCTGCCATCAAACCAGGAATCCGAACGTGCCCCCACAAAACCCTTCCTGAGAACCTTAAGTCAAGGCTCTGTGAAAGAAGCTCCTCAACTTCTGGAAGGAGGATGTTGAGGTGAGTTCTGCCTTTCGCATGTTGCGAGGCTTGCGAGGCCACTCTGCTTCCCAACCTTCACAGCTTCGATGCCACATCACCCTAAACCCGAAACCCCAAAACCTAAACCTAGACCCCAAACCCCAAACCCTAAACCCCAAAACCTAAACCCCAAAACGTAAACCCAAAAGCCTGAAGCTTAAACCCTACACCCTATCCCCCCCAGATGGTTTGGGGCTTCCAGGTCTTCCTATCAAGCTCTCGAAGCCACCCGGGCAAGGTGTATACTAACGTTGGTCTTGGCTGTTTAGGGTCTATATAGGCTTTAGGGTTTAGGGTTCAGGGTTTAGGGTTCAAGGTTTAGGGTTGAGGGTTTGTGGTTCCAGGGCGCGCCTTTACATCGTCTTCAAGACTCGTCGTGTGAGGTTGATTGCCGTAAAATATAACACTGTGTTTCCAAGCATCATCGTTTCCGGCTGTAGTCAGGGTTTATATAGGGTGTAGCTGGGGTGTTGAAGGAAGGACTGACTGAGGGTTACCCTGAACCTTATAATCCCCTAGCCCTAAACCCTAAACCGTAAACCCTAAACCCTAAACCCTAAACCCCAATCCGCTAAAACTTGCAGCCCATGTCCGGGAGGGCTGGCCAGGGCCTCCATCTGCCTCCTGGCGCTTCTCGCCTGCCATCCAGCGCAGGTGCCTCTTCGGGTTTGACGTGCGGGGTTTAGGGGTTTAGGGGTTCAGGGGTTTCGGGGTTTAGGGTTTAGGGTTTCGGGTTTAGGGGTTGGGGGTTTAGGGGTTTAGGGGTTGAGGGTTTAGGGGAGGCTCTGTGCAAAAGCTGAATTGCTCTGGCATATCCGGAATGTGGGGCCGCAAGAAGGCCGCTGTCCCCCCAAGGGCTTGTGGACATTTTGAAGTCATCCGTCTTCTGGGACCAGCTCGAGGAGGCACTGTGTGCCTACATCGTCCTGAAGTTGGCGGTCCCACACCCACGCTTTTCTTGGGACTTGGCCTCTGGCCGTGCGACTCGGACTCGCGCCTTCTGCGGAGAGAGACAGAGAGAGTGAGAGAGAGAGAGAGAGAGAAGGAGAGAGAGAGGGAGAGAGAGTTTGGGGTTTGGGGTTTAGGGTTTAGGGTTTAGGGCTTAGGGTTTAGGGTTTAGGGTGAGGCCGTGAGTCACAAGCCTATACCACACTCCAAGGCACCGATACCCAACTACACCCTGATCATTCGAACCCTGTGCCGACGACAAAAATCTTGGTAGCCCAGTGGTACCCTTTTCCTGTTTTTGGGGGTTCAAGGTTCCCTTATAAAATAACCAACCCCCAAAAAAGGGTGCCGTATTGAAAAAATATAGTTACAGGGCTACCACGAAATCTATAGCTGGGTTGTGCTTTGGGAGAATTGTTCATTTCCCTTCTTTCCTTATAAGGGAACCTGTTCATAAATATTTTTCAAAGGGTCTAAAGCACAACTCAGAGAGACTGTAGACCCGAAACTGGATGGTCCTCTGTTAAGCCTTCTTGCCTAGAATCTGAAGTCCCGAGGCCTTATAAACTGCTCCACTTTAGGATGTTCCCCCTTTTACTCACAGTCCTTCGTAGGTAATGGGGGGTACTTATTAAGGGCTGTTCACGGTTTAAAGTTTAGGGTTTAGGGTTTAGGGTTCTTCAGTGCAGCACTTGGGCCCTCACGCGTTTGACGGTAGGAGGCCGACCACCTCGCGTGCACCAAGCCCTGAACACCCAAACCCTGAACCCTAAACCCTATACACAAAAACCCAGAACCCTAGGCCACAAACCCTACGCAACACCCTAAACCCTAAGCCCTAAACCCTAAACCCTAAACCTAAACCCTAAACCCTAAACCCTAAACCCTAAACCCTAAACCCTAAACCCTAAACCCTAAACCCTAAACCCTAAACCCTAAGCAACACACCCAAAAGCCCCCCAAGCAGGTGCGTGTCTTTTCGCTGCCAAAGCTGCAGCCTTCCAGGCCACCGCACGACTCAGGGTTTACCGGGATTAGGTTTCGGGGTTTAGGGTGTAGGGTTTAGGGCTAGGGGATTATAAGGCTCAAAGTTTTATCAGGGGCTTATGGAGCGTTTTTTTCTTCGATTGTGCGTAGAGGGCTTCAGGGTGCAGAGTTAGGGAGCCTTCTAGGGCTTTCAGGAAATCAGTCACCCTAAACCCTAAACCCTAAAGCCTAAACCCTGAACCCTGAACCCTAAACCCTACGTGTTTTTGGAGATTTGCCCCACCGGTGAGGTTTCTGGAACTTGCTGCTCGTGTCTTGAGCTTCGAATACGGTAGCCACTGCGGGAGTCATCTTGCCCCTTTTTCGGGGGTCTAGGGTTTAGGGTTTAGGGTTTAGGGTTTAGGGTTTAGGGTTTTAGGGTTTTAGGGTTTAGGGTTTAGGGTTTAGGGTTTAGGGTTCTCAAGCAACCAACAACAAAAAGGGGTACCCTCATCATCATATGGGTGGTTGTCAAAAACTATGGCCCCTTTTTGGATCCCTAGTAATGCGGCATCCCCAAAGGGGATCCCTAAGCCCTAAACCCTAAACCCCTAACCCTAAATCCTAAACCCTAAACCCTAAATACCCTATACCCTAAACCCAATACCCTAAACCCTAAACCCCAAACCCTAAACCCTAAACCCTAAACCCTAAACCCTAAACCCTAAACCCTAAACCCTAAACCCTAAACCCTAAACCCTAAACCCAACCACCCATACGGTTACCATGCTGCCAAGATTTTGCTAGCCCCACCCTCAGTCGACGGACTAAAAAAGGAGAGGGTTTAGGGTTCAGGGTTTAGGGTGTAAGGTAATTTAGGGTCTAGGGAACCCCCCAAAACGAGACTTCACCCCGAAGCGCCTGAATTCCTAAGGGCCGCTAGCGCAAATGTGGGCAACCCTCTGCCACATCATCCCCAGTGCTCTCGGAACCAGTAACCCTAAACCCTAAAAACCAGTAACCCTAAACCCTAAAAACCCTAAAGCCCTAAACCTCCAAAACCCTAAAACCCTAAAACCCGAAAACCCTAAAACCCTTAAATCCGAAAACCCTGAAACCCTAAAACTCTAAAACCCTAAAACCCTAAAACCCTAACACCCTAAAACCCTAAAACCCTGAAACCCTGAAACCCTAAAACCCTGAAACCCTAAACCCTAAACCTAAACCATAAACCCTAAACCCTACCCCTCCTTGTCTTTGTAAGGCGGGGTGGGGGTGGGGTGGGGGGGGGGGGGGGGGGCTGCACCTTGTTTTGGGGTCACAGCTGCTTTCAAAAGGATGTTCCCGGGACCCCCCAACAAACCATGAAAGCTAAACATGAATAGATAAAGAAGGAGACCCTAAACCCTAAAGCCTAAAAAGGGAGGGGTGCCTATTGCGTCCTGAGCAGAAACAAAAAGCAAGACGAGAGTGAGATGGTTTTACAGTAGGCTAGGAAGATGATGCAAAGGATAGACCTCCAAGAGAGTGTTGACTGCAAGGCATACACATCAGCGAACTCCCGCCAGCAGGTCAACATGTCCCGACGATCCTACTCTTTGCATGCCCTTACTCTACAAACTGAGACCACTTTCTCCCGAGCCCCGTTATCGTCCAATCCATGCAAGAAGCTGGCCATAATCGGTATTATCTAGACGCTAATTCAACCCTAATCTCTAAACAAAAAACCCCAATGTTGGTGCTGCTGGTGGCTGGTGCACTGATCACCGGGCTGGCGCTGGCCTGGTGGCTGCGGCTACTTTCGAGGCTCGTGTGCTGAGGTTGAGCTATTCGAGTCAGCAAAGCCTACTTTTCGTCGACTTAAATCGAGCATTTGGTTTTAAAGTTACGGGTGAATTTAAGTAGCGCTTTAAATGAAAGGCGTGCTTTAGATCACTCTCAGCGAATGTAATTTGGTTTCGTTGATTTGCCAATAAGGTGCTTCTGTTTTGGTACATGTGTTCAGCGTCCAGGTATTAGGGTTTAGGGTTTAGGGTTTAGGGTTAAGGGATTAGGGTTTAGAATTTTGGGTTTAGGGTTTAGGGTCAAGAGGGGCTACTTCGACCTGCAAGTATAGTTTTTTTGCACTTTCGGGAGCACAACTGTAGGGCTTGTAGTGTCAGTTCCCTACACATGTCTCAGCATCCCTAAACCCTAAACCCTAAACCCTAAACCCTAAACCCTAAACCCTAAACCCTAAACCCTAAACCCTAAACCCTAAACCCTAAACCCTAAACCCTAAACCCTCCCTTACCCCGCCCCACCGCTCAACTCAAGATCCAACTACCTAGACCATATCATTCCATGGCAACATGGGATATTTGGTTATCAAGAACCACCCAACATAGCCGTTGCAACTGCAAGACCCTTAAACCCTACACCCTGAACCCTAAACCCTAAACCCCAAACCCTAAACCCTAAACCCTAAACCCTAAGCCCTAACCCTGAACCCCTCCCAAAATTCAAACGCTTCTGCTCCAGGCGACGCGTCCTGCAGGAGCTGGAAGCCGAGTTCACCGCACAGGATCGCAACTTGTCAGCAATTGAGTTTAGGGTTTAGGGTTAGGGTTTAGGGTTTAGGGTTTTGGGTTTAGGGTTTAGGGTTTAGGGTTTAGGGTTTAGGGTTTAGGGTTTAGGGTTTAGGGTTTAGGGTTTAGGGTTTAGGGTTTGGGGTGGCTTAGGGTTCCTCAAGCCCTGGAATGCTGAAGCAAAATTGATCCACATCTCCTTGGAACGGGATAACACAGCAAGCCTTGACCATGTAGGGACGAAGATGTCCCTGCCAGTCGGAGATTCCAAAGTGCGGTTTCGCTGTCAACCCTAAACCAGGCGTAGAACCCGCAAAACATACCTATACCACTACTGGGTCATGTTTAGGAATCCTTGAGGGGATCTACTTCAAGAAGGGGCACCTTTTTCTTTATTCCTGTAGGTTACTCTTGGGTCTAGAGGCTTAAAGAAACCCTAAACCACTTGAGGGTATAGGGTTTAGGGTTTAGGGTTAGGGTTTAGGGTTTAGGATTTAGGATTTAGGGTTCAGGGTTTAGGGTTTAGGGTTTAGGGTTTAGGGTTTAGGGTTTAGGGTCTAGGGTTTAGGGTTTAGGGTTTAGGGTTTAGGGTTTAGGGTTGTTTGAGGTCACTGGCGAACCGTAAGAAGTGTCTTGAGACGTGCGAAAGCCCGAGGCAGCTTTGTTTTCGACACTTGGTTCGAGAGCGTGAAAGCGGCAACTTGGCCCAGAGGGTACATGCTGAGACCTTTTCAGCCGCAAGCCGTCAACCCTATCTTCGCGGCCGGGTAGTTCACCCGTTTTAACCCTTTTGGTTACATGGAATCCAACTACAAAGAAGGGTGAACCGTTTTTTGGCTAGGGTATTCAGCCCCAAGCTATTGCTTGGTAGTCCAGTGGTACCCTTGTCCCTTCTTGGGGTTTAAGGTTCCCTTATAAAGTAACCAACGCAAAAAAAGGCACCCTTATTATAATATGGCTACTGGGCTACCAAGATTGGGCTTGCGGGTTTAGGCTACGCCTTCTACCGAAAAAAACACAAACCTTAAACCTTATACATCCGACACCAAAGCCCGAAAGCGCACACCTTCACCCATTGGGACGCCTGGGCTCAGAGTGTTTGTTTCTCCTTTGGGGCTGGTGGTCTATGTCGTACGACCAAGTTCCGGAAGTCCTTTTGACCGGTTGCATATGACGAGGAATCAGGCGAGGCTACTGAGGCAACCTAAACCCTCAACCCTACACTGCAGGTAGTACATGATAGCATGCTTTGTTATCGTGTGGTCTTGCAGACTGTATATGGTGCATCATCCATCAGAGATGACATACCATGATTTCTGAAACAGTAAATAGATTCTCTGTTGTAGTTATCTTCATGTCTTTGTCAGAAAAATATCAACGGCGGCTCATGGCTTCCTATTTGAGAAGGAAGCGCTGGACTTCCACTGAGAAACTACACAAGACTCAGGTGACCTTCCCCTCGGCGAGCGTGCCGTTGGAAGCCGAAGACATAGAGGACGGACAATCGGTGCTTAGAATTCCTGAACCGGGTTTCAGGTCTAGGGTTTGAGGGATTCGGGGTTTGGCGTTTAGGGTTTGGAGCTGCATTGAGGTTAAGGATACGTTTTTTGCCATAGAGCCCCTTGTTTACAAGGGCCCCTCACAAGAGACCCCACTGCTCTTCACGCCCCCATAAACCCTACACCCTACACCCTAAACCCTAAACCCTAAACCCCCACACAAGCCTTTTTGCAAGCTCCACAATCCGCCCCGCCCCTGAACAGGTCTTGCGGTCACATGGAGTTTATTGGGGGTCTCGAACCCTAAACCCTATAAAGCCGAAACCCTCAAGTCCCTGAAAAATAAATGCCCAAAAACTCCTCGGAAACTTTCCCCGCACCTGAACCCTAAACCCTAAAGCCCGAAGCCCTAAACCCTAAACCCTAAACAGTAAACCCTAAACCCTAAACCCTAAACCTTAAACCCTAACCCCTAAACCCTAACCCTAAACCCTAAACCCTAAACCCTAAACCCTAAACCCTAAACCCTAAACCCTAAACCCTAAACCCTAAACCCTAAACCTCAACCAGGCTCTCGCGCGCGCCGCGGACGACGCCCTGGCACTGATCCCGTCTACGAAGACCAGGCCCTCGTTGAACTGGTATGGGGTTTAGGGTTTAGGGTTTAGGTTCAGGGTTTAGGGTGGGTCAGGATGTAGGGTTTAGGGTTTCGTGTTTCGGGTTCAGGGTTCAGGGTTTGGGGATTAAAAGCTTAGGTATTCAGGGTTTGTTTGTTCCCCCCCCTATTAAGGACTGTTAGTATAAGGGGGAACATCCCAACCTGTCGACTTTAGAGTCAGCGTCATTATTTCCAGGCTTCCAGGCTCACAGCAAACAATCAAGCACTGAGGCGCCTATGGGAAACACCGGCCCGGGATTAGGGTTTAGGGTTTAGGTTTAGGGTTTAGGGTTTAGGGTTTAGGGTTTAGGGTTT